AGTCCTGCATTTAATTTCAGGCAGCCTCTACTGCCACAGCTGGTCACATTTGTTGTAGTGATAGAGGGACATGACATCACCTTTTATTTCTCTCAGAAATATGATGGGGCCTTTTGGGAAGACTCTTGACTTCAAAACTCAGCTTAGTAAAAACAGAGAGTTTATTGCTTTAAAGGCCAAGATTTCCCCTTGGCCCAAAAGCAAGGGCTGATATGGGTAAAAGAACAAGCATCCATAAATAAAAAAGCAGCAGCAGAGACAATTTTTATGAGATTTTATTTCCAGCTCACTGTATAGGGCAGACAGTTCTTCGGTTGCATTTGGGTAGGAAGTATTTTTTCCAGATTGCAGAAAGTTCCACTCCTCATTTTCCATGCAAAAGAAGTGACAAAGAAGTGCTTTGCTTAGAGGTGAGTGCACCCTACAGTGCAGTATTTTGTTTGTTTTTCCTTGGAGTTGAATGTATTGGGGTTTTTTTGCCACTTCCTGGTACCTGTAGCTATGGCTTAGACCAGGGGTGCTCAGTCTCTGGCCTGCAGGCCAGATGTGGCTTGTAGAACCGTGACATTTAGGCTGTGGGGCTCCCCATGGGTTAGGAAATTTTATGATGGGAGACAGTGGCAGTTAATACTGCCACCCTCCCTGCTGCCAAATTCCCAAGACCCATGGGTCTAAGCCACACCCCCTCGCCCTGCTCAGCCGGATCAGGGCCAGGCCATGCCCTGCTATGCAGCTCGATTTGAAGTCAGGTTGGGAATGGACCATGCCCCCTTCCATCCATGGGGCCAGGTTGGGTAAAGGAAAACCAGTGCCACCCGAGTCCCATTCCAGAACTCTCATACTAAATGGATACATCCTATCAAATCCATTTTTAAGAGGTTAATATTCTACACTTTAGACTGGGTATTACCCGCATAGCTATGATACCTCCTGCTTTCCTCCTGATCCCTCCTTAATGGTGCCAGGGAACAGAGAAACCAACTCACCCAAAATCTAAAAGGTACTAAAAATCTGAAACACGTTAAGAGATTTATGTTCAGCCCACATACCTGATCTCTTGGCATCATTTTCTAGGCCAGGGTGTCAAATTCATCTGGTCCCACAGGCCAGACGAATGATGCAGGGCTGGTCCATGCCCCTCCCCTCCCCGCCCCGCCCCATGCCTGATTGAACAGAGTCACCTCACCCATCCAGGCTGTCAAACCATGATGCCAGCCTGAGCAGCCACCACTTGCAACACAGCCTGGGACTGGTCCAAGCAAGCAATGTGGGCATTGCAGCCTGAGCCCCAGCTCCAGGAAGCATCCATTTAGTATGTGAGCTCTGGAATGGGATTCAGGTGGCACTGGTTTTCCTTTACATGAAGGAAAGGACCGCTGAGTCACTTTGTGAACTACGTTCTTCCTTACAGGG